CTTAACAGTTCCCTATGGCAACCAAACTTTATCTCCTATTGCTTTTGCGGTTGGCTGCTTCTGCTTCTGCATAGTTAACTACTTTAGGCTTGGAGAATAAAAATGATTTGTTCTGGCCATCAGTGGAATTTTTCTTAAGGATTATGACCAACATTTGCAATATGCAGTGAAAGAAAATTTGATGCCTTTTATTTGCATAAATTTAAAAACCTATTTAAAAGCATATTAAACAATGTTAGCAAGTCAAAAATATTTGACTAAAATAATGTGAAGTGCTGACTTTTAAAATCGCTTCTGTGTAGGATATAGCTTTGTGCATGTCAGTTGAGGAGAATGTTTGCTTCCAAGTACATAAAGTGAAATCGCTGGCTCCCCTGCCCCAAAATATATACAATTACCTTAACCCCAGTCCTCCAAATTCACTTTCTGAATTCCCCTCCATGCTTATGTAGCCCTGTGTCAGGGAACCAGAGGCTCTCCAGCTGTTGCTGAACTAAGACTCCCATCATCCCTGATCAATGATTGTGATGGGTAGGTCTGATGGAAGTTGCTAGAAGCCCAGAAAATGCCCACCCCTGCCATTATATAAACGGTATTGCATTTATCTAAGCTTCTGATTAGCCAGCATGTGAGGTCCTTGTGTGACACGGAGACTACTTCAACACTGAGGTCCATCATCTGCTTCTCCCCTGGATAGGTCATCCCCTAGATCAGGCATAGGCAAACTTGGCCCTTCAGATGTTTTGGGACTACAACTCCCATCATCCCTAGCTAACAGGACCAGTGGTCAGGGATGATGGGAGTTGTAGTCCCAAAACATCTGGAGTTTGCCTATGCCTTCCCTAGATACACACCCACATTGCATAAGGTCTTGCCCCCTGCTATGTTCCAAGTCTACACCTGGAAGGAACACCTAGTTCAGTCCTCAACTGGGGAAAGTTAGGATTAAAGATGCCTTAAGGTTGCTAATTCCACCCTTCTCTAATTCTTGCTTTCCAGTTTTAATAGGGACAAAAAAGGTGACCATGCAAAGCAACTGGAATTGAGTATGGATCGCTAATACTCGTGGAGCTGCGCGTGCTGCTAAAATTATGACTTGTCTACTGTACCTTCTTTTTTTTATAATCTATTTGGCATATCTTAAGACTTTAGCTAATCTGCCACTTTGCATTTGCTTCACAGTATTCTGCACCTGCAGACAATTTGCATTTTAAACCTTGCCACACGAACCCAAAATTGACACTTCGGTATGTACATGGTGAGACCAGAGAAGGGAACACCCTTAGCGTGTAAAAGAGCAAACTTTAGATGCTCTGCAAGGATCAAACTGCAATGGGAGAAAGTTCATTTTTCCCACCATAAACACATTACAGTGGTGCCTCGCAAGACGAAATTAATCCGTTCCGCGAGTCTCTTCGTCTTGCGGTTTTTTCGTCTTGCGAAGCACGGCTATTAGCGGCTTAGCAGCTTAGCGGCTATTAACGGCTTAGCGGCTATTAACGGCTTAGCGGCTTTAAGAAAAAGGAAACAAACTCGCAAGAACTCGCAAGACGTTTCGTCTTGCGAAGCAAGCCCATAGGGAAATTCGTCTTGTGGAACGACTCAAAAAATGGAAAACCCTTTCGTCTAGCGAGTTTTTCGTCTTGCGAGGCATTCGTCTTGCGGGGCACCACTGTACAGCCAATGCAGTACAAACTCAGGGAAGGGACCAGAAAGGAGAAATGGTTTTGGAATGGTGCTCCTGCCTTAAGAAGTGAGCTTTGCCTTCGCACCATGGCCCTCTTTACACATAACCAAGCTTAAAGGTAAAGGGACCCCTGACCATTAGGTCCAGTCGTGACCGACTCTGGGGTTGCGGCGCTCATCTCGCTTTATTGGCCGAGGGAGCCGGAGTACAGCTTCCGGGTCATGTGGCCAGCATGACTAAGCCGCCTCTGGCGAACCAGAGCAGTGCACGGAAACGCCGTTTACCTTCCCGCCGGAGTGGTACCTATTTATCTACTCGCACTTTGACATGCTTTCAAACTGCTAGGTGGGAGGAGCAGGGACCGAGCAACAGGAGCTCACCCTGTTGCGGGGATTCGAACCGCCAACCTTCCGATCAGCAAGTCCTAGGCTCTGTGGTTTAACCCACAGCGCCACCCACATCCCTTATAACCAAGCATATCATTTGAGTAACTGAGAAAGCGAGCCTTACTCAGTCATAAAGCCCAGCTGAACATTGCTATGTGGCAGTACTGGGGAGGGTTTTCTCGGGGCTCATCTACACTAATTTTCCTCAGAGTTTTCTAGGCACAAGTCTGCACGTTCCCTGTCCATGCCTGAAGTTTTTTTGGTGTGTGTGTGTGGAGGCAGGGCCAGATTCAGGTTTGATGAGGCCCTAAGGTACTGAAGGTAATGGGGCCCTTTTATAAGTCCACTTGTCTTTTGTCAACAACAAATTGTCGCTGTTTTTTTGTGTTGAATATATGTCATATGGTAATTTATGGACCTAATAGGTACCTAAAGCCATTTGCACATAACAAATAGGAGCCTACACAACACTGTTGCTGTATGAAGGTTTTATTTTATTTGTTTTTTTATCTTATATTTTAGAAATGTACATCCAGGTTTTTTTCCTTTAATTTTTTGGGGGGAAGCTATCGCCTGTTTGGGACGCGGGTGGCGCTGTGGGTAAAAGCCTCAGCGCCTAGGGCTTGCCGATCGAAAGGTCGGCGGTTCGAATCCCCGCGGCGGGGTGCGCTCCCGTTGTTCGGTCCCAGCGCCTGCCAACCTAGCAGTTCGAAAGCACCTCCGGGTGCAAGTAGATAAATAGGGACCGCTTACCGGCGGGAAGGTAAACGGTGTTTCCGTGTGCTGCGCTGGCTCGCCAGATGCAGCTTTGTCACGCTGGCCACATGACCCGGAAGTGTCTTCAGACAGCGCTGGCCCCCGGCCTCTTAAGTGAGATGGGCGCACAACCCTAGAGTCTGTCAAGACTGGCCCGTACGGGCAGGGGTACCTTTACCTTTACCTTTTTATCGCCTGTTTAGCTTATACATAAATCCGGCACTGATGGGGAGGGTGCCCTACAGCTTTCCTCACAAAAATCTTCTCTTTTAAATGTTTCTGCATTGCAGGGGGTTGGGTGAGAAGATCCTCAGAGTCCCTTCCAATTCTATGATATCTGTGGTGGCTATTTGTTGCTTATATGATAGGCCAGTCACAAGGAAGGCAAATCCTGGCCAAACGCTCTCTATGATCCATGGAAAACCCAAATTGTTCTGCTTGTTCCAATTCGACATGGAAGAGTGGAAAGCAGTGAGGCAAAGAACCGTTGCTCAGATATGGACTGTGAAAGTGTGGACCTGTGTCTAGAAAGCATGGGGCAAAGCATGGAGGAAATTCCTCCCTTCTGAGATATAACTAGCATGGTCTCTTATGAAATTTCAGCACCATCTGAAGATTCAGGTCTTAGTGCCTGAGGCTGTTCACAATTGCTCTAACTATTGGTGGTGTGTTTTAATATCCCCTACCTTGTTTTTAAGCTCTGTTGTTGCTAATTTTAAAGTACTCTGTGCGGAATTGCTTTGGGAATCAAGGGCTGGCTTACCTCTCTCGCCCTGACCTAGCCACTGTGATCCACGCGACGGTCACCTCCAGACTGGATTATTGTAATTCGCTCTACGCGGGGCTGCCCTTGAGACTGACCCAGAAACTCCAGCGGGTGCAGAATGCCGTGGCGAGACTCCTTACGGGGTCCTTGCTGCGAGATCACATTCACCCGGTGCTATACCAGCTGCACTGGCTCCCGGTGGAGTACAGGATCAGGTTTAAAGTGCTGGTTTTAACCTTTAAAGCCCTATACGGCCTAGGACCCTCGTACCTACGGGGCCGCCTCTCCTGGTATGTCCCACGGTCTTCAAACAAAAACATCTTGGAGGTCCCAGGCCACAGAGAAGTTAGGCTGGCCTCAACTAGAGCCAGGGCTTTTTTGGCTGCGGCTCCAATCTGGTGGAACGCTCTGTCACAAGAGACTAGGGCCCTGTGGGACTTGACATCTTTCCGCAGGGCCTCCAAGACAGAGCTGTGCCACCAGGCCTTTGGTCAGGGCACAGCCTGACTCCCTCCTTTGGCAATCTTCGCAGAGCTCTGGCCCAGTGGTTGCCATCAGTTTGATTTGAGTTAATTTTATAATGAATGATTTTGGTATGTTGTACTATTTTAATGTTATTAGCCGGCCTGAGCCCGGCTTCGGCTGAGGAGGGCGGGATATAAATAAACGTTTTTTTTTAATTATTATTATTCTTTTATTTTTTAAAAAAATCAGCTGCACATGACGACGTTGCTCACTGTTGTGGGCAGGGGATGTGGTTGACAAATGGCTTGCTGCACCTTGTGGATAGCATTGATGGTAGCTAGCCAGCTAGCCAGCAGCAGCACACTGTCACAGGGCTAACTGAAGCATCCCCTACCTCCACTGCTGTTTCCTGATGGATTTCAAGACCCCAGAAATTCTTGATGAATTTTCCTCCATCCACAACTGCACTGCATTGCTGGCTGACAGCACTCATAGCAAACTGCTTCCCATACGTGGCTGATAAAATAATAGAGGGGCAGGAGGTCAAGAGCTGGTGTGTGGGTGGATGTGCTAAATATTGATCCGAAATCATCAGCCAGATGTTGAGCTGCAGGTCTCTCTAGACTTATCGTTTTGAAATACTGTTGTGTTCGCCAAGGAGATGCTTTCTCAGGCAAAGTTAACTAGTGTTTTCATTACTCCCAACCTTCAAGGGGCTGCCTTCTTTCTGTTCACTTCTGTTCCATATCTACCTGGCTAGACAAGACCCTGGAAGAGGAGCTGAGCAGAACAGATTCCCAGGTTCCCCAGGAAACTGGTTTGAAAATGAAGGGAAATTATGGGGCAGGCCGTGACAAAACTCACATGGTCTTTAGGCTACAGAAGAGCTTCTGAGGGCTGTGACAGTAACCTTTTCAAAAATTGCTCATGGTAAGCTTACCCTGAGGTAGTTGAGGGTGAAGTTAGTGAGACCCATGCGGGTGATGTTTTTGGACAGCTGTTCCAGCACCTGAGGGTCTTGTGCCTGTAACGGAAAACAAAGAGACAGTCTCTCATGTTCATGTGAGGAAGAAATGCAACAGTAAAATTATAAATCAAGGACATGCTTAAAAAATTGGCAACCCTATCTGAAAGCAAGCTGCCAATTTATAAAAAGCATCCAAGATTTTATACTGAACATTAGACACTAATTCACTGAGGGAAGGAGAGTGCAGTGCCCATTTCATTCCAAACACTGGGTTATTAGCAATGGTACTGCTAAGCTTTCTGAAAATCATACTTTAGACTAGTCGTTATATCAGGAAACCTTACTAGCATTGTCGTCTCCACACTGAAGTAAAGGGGCTAAAAATGAGAATAGTGTCTTGTTTTGAGGTCATTTAGTTCTTTTATGACCTCAAAACAAGGCACTACTCTAGTTCTTTAATAAGGGACGCAGGTGGCGCTGTGGGTTAAACCACAGAGAGCCTAGGACTTGCTGATCAGAAGGTCGGCGGTTCGAATCCCTGTGACGGGGTGAGTTCCCGTTGCTCGGTCCCTGCTCCTGCCAACCTAGCAGTTCGAAAGCACGTCAAAGTGTAAGTAGATAAATAGGTACCGCTCTGGTGGGAAGGTAAACGGCATTTCCGTGCGCTGCTCTGGTTCGCCAGAAGCGGCTTAGTCATGCTGGCCACATGACCCGGGAGCTGTACGCCGGCTCCCTCGGCCAATAAAGCAAGATGAGCACTGCAACCCCAGAGTCGGCCACGACTGGACCTAATGGTCAGGGGTCCCTTTACCTTTATTAGTTATTTTATGGTATGGGCAAGGTTTGAACTAGGTCTTTCTTGGATCACAGCTTACTCTGCTTGCACGAGAGCACGGATTTGAATTCCACTGCGGGAATAATTCCCATTCTCCTCAAGGGTTTCTTACACACATTACCTCACAGTAGCATAGCAACTAAGTGTTAGTGAAACAAATCGGGGGGGGGGGGACCCTACTATAAAAATAGTTACAGCCTTACAAATTACCAATGGAAAAAAGAAACTCCCTAATTAATATGCTCGAGAGCAAAAGCAAACATGCAGACAACGTCGGGATGCTAAATTACATCTACTGGTGTAGTATGGTATCACCAACGGAAAGCATGTGAAATGCGCAGGAAGAGAAAGAAGGAACCACTCCCCTCATTTAGAAAGCAGGAAGCATACTAAGATTGATCCCTTTTTTTTACAGAGGAGTAACCTGGGCCTGGAGCAACAGCTGGGACAATGCTGGTGATACCCTATATGGGTGCTGCAGAGCTCAGAAGGATGCAATTAACCAATGCACTTCAAAACTGTTTCTGACATGTGCTGATGTACCCTTGGAGCACAGCTGGGCAAAAGGTAACTCATGCAGAGATTGCCAACATCTGTGTAACAAGCAAATAAGGTCCCATCTGCACAACACATTTATATCATACCACTTTCAATTAGGGTTACCAGACGTCCCCGTTTCCCCGGGACAGTCCCCGGATTTGCAAATCTGTCCCCGGGAAACGTGGCAGCGGCAGCAGCCCGGAGCCAGCCTGGTAGTGCAGTTGGCTCTGGCTGGCTTCAGGAGCTGCTTGTTGCTTGCTGCTACCACCACTGCCAAAGGGGAACCGGGGACGTCCGGTAGTACAGATCTCCTGCCCCCTTCCCCTTGTTGTAACAGATATGGGGAGGCTTAGGAGTTGTGGGTGGGTGGCCGTTGTCCAGGAGGGGTGCAAGGCACGTGGTTTCTCTGTCAGGCAAGGTGCAAAGCCCTTCTTTCGCACCCTGTGAAACATAAATGCACAATTTTTTTAAAAAAACTGGGCAAATGTGGCAGAGAAAGGGACAGGAGATTGGGGGAGGTGGGAGTCATGGGTAGACGGCGCTGTTGCCCAGTTTTTTTAAAAACTCTGCGCATTTATGTTTCACAGGGTGAGAAAGAAGGGGTTTGCACCTTTATACAACATGCATGTGTGCTTGGGCCCAGGGTCTTTTGCCTCACCATCCTCACTACTGACTCCCTGTTGCTACTCAGCTAAAAAAAAAAAAGTGCCCCCACATTCATTGAAAAAAAATCTGGTAACCATACTTTAAATAGCTGTGGCTTCCCCAAAGAATTCTGGGGGCTGTAGTCTGTTAACTATTTTCACAATGCTCAGAGTGGTTTGACAATCAATCACCCCTTCCCAGGGAAATATGGGGGTTGTAGCTCTCTGGGGGCAAACAGGGGTTGTCCTAACAGTCTCAGCACCCTTAAAAAACTACAGTACCCATGATTCTTTGAGGGAACTGTTTAAAGTGGTACACTTTAAAGGTATGGTGCAGATGGAGTCCCCAAAAATGTAAAAAATAAAATAAAAATTAAAATCTAAGGTGGTGTATTCTTACTCTTTAAAAATAACTTTAATGGATATAAGAATGAAATGTGCCTCTGAATTTAATTCAGAAAGAAAGTGTGCATCAGCTTAAGTAGGGGAGACACTAGTCTGTCTACTTATTTACATCCACAAATGCTTGTGACACACCAACATAACATCCTTGTTTACAATGCGCATAACTCTAAGATAACTGGTTGTGACAGCAAAATGGTGGGTTTGGATTGTTAGTCAAAATTTAATGGATTAAAAAAAAAAAGCAATTCTGGCCAATTACTTACATGCATGGCTAAAATACTGCGAGGGACTAACTCTCTGTATTGTCTAATTGTAAAGTGCCAGGTTTTTATTCTCATAAGGTCATCAAATGTAAATTCCAAGATAAGACGTCCTTCTGTGCACACCTAGGAGAAATAAAGAAAAGGAAGGAAAATAAACAAACACACACACACTTCTTTGAGGAGCCTCTATAAAACTAAAAGAAACCAAACAAAATACAGTCCTAAGCAAGCTAAATAAATGCCAATATACTTTGTTATTCAGCTTTATTGGGGAAATTGTATCCCCTCTGGAAAAAGAGAGGAATTAAGAATGAACAATTAAATAAGCAGGCTGTGGATTTTATAGCTCTGTGCAATCTAAATCCTTTTTTTTGTTTCCCTCCAAAATGGCTGGTGATGTTTAATGGCATAAAGGGCACAATTCTAACCCCCTGGCACTGATGGTGGGTGGTGGGGTAGCATGATGTGCAGGTTCCTCTCTGCTGGTGGAGAGGAGCATCATGGGGTGAGGAGATGCTGGAGGTGAAATAGTTAAACAGGTTACCCAATCATAACACCTGGCTTGAGAGCAGTACATGTGAAAAGGATCTAGGAGTCTTGGTTGACCACAAACTTGACATGAGCCAACAGTGTGACGCGGCAGCTAAAAAAGCCAATGCAATTCTGGGCTGCATCAATAGGAGTATAGCATCTAGATCAAGGGAAGTAATAGTGCCACTGTATTCTGCTCTGGTCAGACCTCACCTGGAGTACTGTGTCCAGTTCTGGGCACCACAGTTCAAGAAGGACACTGACAAACTGGAACGTGTCCAGAGGAGGGCAAGCCAAAAATGGTCAAAGGCCTGGGAAACGATGCCTTTAGAAGGAACGGGCCTAAGGGAGCTGGGCAGGTTTTAGCCTGGAGAAGAGGAGGTGTAAGGGGTGATATGATAGCCATGTCATAATATATAAAAGGATGTCATTAGAGGAGGGAGAAAGGTTGTTTTCTGCTGCTCCAGAGAAGCGGACCACGGAGCAAATGGATGCAAACTACAAGAAGAAGATTCCACCTAACATAGGAAGCATCTTCCTGACAGTAAGAGCTGTTCGACAGTGGAATTTGCTGCCAAGGAGTGTGGTGGAGTCTCCTTCTTTGGAGGTCTTTAAGCAGAGGCTTGACAACCATTATGTCAGGAAGTGCTCTGAATGGTGTTTCCTGCCTTGCAGGGGGTTGACATCGATGGCCCCTTGTTGTCTTCCTAACTCTATGATTCTAACCAGGGGGTGGAGTCAGAGGGACTATAAAACCAGCTCTGGGAGGGGGCGAAGGAAGGAGTTGTTGGGAGTTGGGTGGTTGGAGTGGGAGTGAATTGGGATAGAGTCTGTGGGTAGGTTGAGTTAGTGTAGCAAAATAAGCTGAGTCAGGGACAGTTAGGAGCTAGGAAGACGAGTAAATATCTGAGAGGTGGTTTAGTGAGGGAGAGCAGGTAGCGGGAGTTCTAGGTCTGGATAGGCACCCCATGATTGTAATTGACTGATACTGTTTATGAAACCACATGTTTGTTAAACTGCAATAAATAAACAGAAGTTTATGTTCCAATTTAACCGACTGGACTCAGTATTATACCAGGTAGGGCCTGGGTGGCAGCAGCAAGAAATCAAGTGGTGGCACAGGGATCAATAGATGGTGAAATGTCCGGGGTCCCTGTGTGATTGCCACAGGAGAAGTGGGGACTTCACCATGGCAGGTGGGAAGCTGTTGCCTGCGGTTCTGCCACTGGTGGCGGCTAGCAGACAGCCCCCAAAGAGGCTGTTTCAGAGAATGGATTCCCCATGGAGCTGGATTCTTGGGCCAATCGGCCGCAGCAAACCCATGTATGAAAGCCTTGGCTGACCTGGGTGGCAAGGCTTCAGATGTGGTGGTGGGTTTGCACTCCATCGCTCTGTTCACCTTTAACAGCTGCAATTGTGCAAATATAACATCTAGCTGGTGAACCAGAGGGTCCTGTATTCTTTATGTAATAGACATTAAGCAATCTTGTGTAAGAGGCTGAGCTATAAAAGTTCTACACTTTCCAGGTGGTTGTTAGGTTTACTCTGGTATGTGTTACATTCGGTAGTCATTCTTCAGATAGTTATTTTCATCCTTCCCATTATCTATTTTTTGCTTTCCGTTTTATCTTTCAATCCTTTTTTTTTTTTTGTCCTTTTGGGGGTTCCTCCTCATCTCCTCCTGGTGCCCCAGGGCTTGTAAAATGGATTGCACACCAATCGCTTCTCAATTCTGAAAAAGTTTTAGCCCCAATTTCCTTCACTGATTCTTTTTGTTTAAACATTTCTGTCTGCCTGATTTGTATTCGCAATTGCATTCAAAGCTCTCTAGGCTTGGGCTTCCTTTGAGGACCAGGAAACCACAATGCTTAATTCACATAATAAGGAGTACTGTGGAGCCTCTGAATTCTTCTCCCACATTACAATTGGAGCCAGAGGAGAATTTATAGCATACCCGACAGATAATCCTTTTATAGGTCAGATGCCTCATAGCGAGGGATATTGTAAGATGGGAGAGCCATGGAACTAAAGAGGGGCGAAAGAAGAGTCTGGAGGGACCTGTGGATATAGGAAAGGAATGATGGCACATTTTCTCTCTGTGTCCTGGGCTGGCTTTTCAAAGTGGCTCTAGGGTAGAACCAGCGGCTGATCAGGAACAGGAAGTGTGGAATTTCAGAGGAGGGCATAATCAAAGGGAACATTTATTTACTTTGGAACCCTGACAAATTCTGGAACCCGATTTGGTAATTTAAGAATAGCATATCTTACAGAAGCACCTCTGTTGCTTATGGCAATATTTAAAAACATATTCTTAATTAGTGTAAACCAGGGGTCTCCGACTTCCAAGAGACTGTGATCTACTCCCACTATAAATAAACTGGGAATGATCTACCCATTGGATTGACCAGAGTTGTTGAGCTTTCATTGGGGAGAGAGACCAGGATCGACCAGGGACAGACCGCAATCGACCGGTAGATCACGATCGACCGCTTGGACAGGCCTGGTGTATACCAATCTGGCCATTACAGTGTGTGTGATTTTTTATTTTTATTTTTTTAAAAAAATCTGCATTAAAAGCTATAATAGTAATGATGTTGGTGAAGTTTCTGGGAGCGACTTGCCCTAATAGCACAAAGCAGTAGGACAGGCTTTCTAGTCACTGTTGGCTGAGCTCCACAGAGTTATACTGGTCAGCATAAGGAGGGGAAGAAGAGCACCTTAGCCCTAGGTTAGGAGCCTGGGAAGACAACCAGGAAAGGGAAACTGCTTGACATAGGAAAAGAGAGAGCTAGGGATTGGAAGAGACTGTGGTCCAGAGGGTGAGCATGAGAGGAGGAAACAGAGAGAGAGCCACACAGGTCCAATAGCTGCAGAGATGAGGCGGGATGAAAATTCACATACTTATTTGAAAAAAATTAAGCCAGTCCCTTTGACTGCAAGCCTCTAGAACATGGCGGGCAACCTAAGGCCCAGGGGCCGGATCCGGCCCAATCGCCTTCTCAATCCGGCCCGCAGACGGTCTGGGAATCAGCGTGTTTTTACATGAGTAGAATGTGTGTTTTTATTTAAAACGCATCTCTGGATTATTTGTGGGGCATAAGAATTCGTCCACCCCCTCCCTTCAAAATACAGTCGGGCCCCCCCCCAAGGTCTGAGGGACAGTGGACCAGCCCCCTGCTGAAAAAGTTTGCTGACCCCTGCTCTAGAACTAGGGCTGACGTCTGCTATGGCCTGTGCCTCAGGAGGGCACCCACTGACAGTCAATGGGTCTTCTTCCTTGAAGTTACATGCCCTCCTTGAGCAAGAGAAGAAAGAGAACCACGAGAAGAACAGTGTGAATGCAACCCCAAGAAATTTGAACTGCTTTGTTTCGTTTCGGTCCTTGTTTTTATGTTTTTACTGTGTATTTTTATTCTGCGAACCGCCCTGAGATGCTTGGATGAAGGGCTGTATACAAATATAATATATAAAATAAAATAAAAACAGAAGTGACTTTTATGCGTGTTATAACAGGAAGGAATCTGTAGCTGCTGCTCATACAGTAAGTAGCTCTCTGTGCTGTACCCAAAAGCACAGGTCTGCTATTATGGCTACCTTGGAAGAATAAAACCGTTCTCTTTGGACAGGAGTTCTTCCACTGACAGATCCTGACAGCAAAACCAGGGCTGGCTCGGCTTGAAGTATTTCCGAGAGCTTTTATTTTGCTTGTTCCCAAAACAATTCTCCTCTACTGTTGTATACTAGGGCTGTTTTTATTTTAATTATTTAACAAATAAAAACCATCCATCTGCAGAAGTGTCGGGATGCATACGACACCCCAAATTAAGATATGATTAAATACCAGCCTAAGCAGAATTATCTTAAATCCCATGTTCATTCTGTCTCCTGATCACCAGGATCCACTTCCTGACCCAGGAGGCAGCACCCCTTAGTTTCCTGCCCATTGAGTGTCCGGGGGAACTAGCAACTCTGTATGTTGGCTAGCGTTAGCAGATGCTAAGGAACACAGGGCTCTCATATATTTACGAGTTGTTAAAGCAAGGAGACTTTGCTCCCAAAGTTTTTCTAGAGTGGAAAAACGTGCCACAATTGTTTGCAATTTTTCTTGTGCATGTGTGTCTGTTTTTGTTCTGTTCCTGCTATGGACAAGAGATGGGGGTTTCTAGCTGTGGATGCTTGTGAACAACCATTCAGACCTCTCAGGATGAGGCCTGGATAAGCTGCAGAGTGTGGGTGAAAGTTTTACAGTGGTGCCTCGCAAGACGAAAATAATCCGTTCCGCGAGTCTCTTTGTCTAGCGGTTTTTTCGTCTTGCGAAGCAACCCTATTAGTGGATTAGCGGATTAGCGCTATTAGTGGTTTAGCGGCTATTAAAGGCTTAGCGGCTAAAAGGCTATTAGCGGCTTAGCGGCTTAGAAAAAGGGGGGGAGCGGAAAAAAATTGCAAGACTCGCAAGACGTTTTCGTCTTGCGAAGCAAGCCCATAGGGAAAATCGTCTTGCGAAGCAACTCAAAAACGGAAAACCCTTTCGTCTAGCGGGTTTTTCGTCTTGCGAGGCATTCGTCTTGCGGGGCACCACTGTATGTTTCTCA